CCCGGGATGGGCCATGGCCGTCAGGGACTCAGCCCAGCCTCCTCCCTGTGGGCCCCGGCCCTCCCACCCTCACCCCAGGGGACCTCTGGCCCCTCAGTGCAGCCCCCACTCCCCTGTAGGCTCTGTCTACAGCCTTCCTGGGGAGAGCTCGGCCACTTGGATCCTCCTGGGGTGCAGGGAGGGGTGCAGAGGTCATGCCCGAGTCCGGCCATGGGTGTGCTCCCCAGCCCCCTCACCCGCCCAAGGAGGGAGTGGCCTGGGCACCCTGCTCCTCTGGGGGCGGCCAGCCCAGTGTCCAGGCTGCAGAGCAAGGAGCATTAGCAGGGGGACCCCGGTGGCCGGGGGCCCTGACGCCCCCCACTCTGCCCGCCCCGCAGGCCTGAGGATCCGGCTGTTCAACTTCTCCCTGAAGCTGCTCACGTGTCTCCTCTACATCGTCCGAGTCCTGCTCGATGACCCGGCCCTGGGCATCGGATGGTGGGTGCCCGTGGGGCTGGGGGCTGCAGGGATGGGCCTGCTGCCATGGCAGAGGCGCTGGGCTTGGCTGGAGGTGTGACCAGCACCCCGCCGGCCCCTGGACGCCCTCTGTCCAGGGTCTTGGAGAGTCCTTCCTTCCCCTTGTGACCCCTCCCAGTATCCAAGCCCCAGGAGTGCCCTGGGCGCTGCCCTCGGGTTCCCCTGACCAGCCGGCTCAGCAGGGGAGACGGTGGCGCCCTTGGCCGTGGCCCGCGGCTGCCCGGGTCCTTTTTTTTAGCCCCCGCTCCCCGAGGTGCAGGCCTCAGCCTGGCTCTGGTCCCGCCCGGTCCCACCTGGGCGGAGGGCTCCTCTGAGCCCAGGCCCAAGGTCAGGGGTCAGGGCTAGCGGCGTCTCCCAGCTGCAGGGCCTGGGCCGCCTTCCCTCGCTGCGGCGTCTCCCAGCTGCTGTGGCGGCTGCAGAGCTCACGGGCTCCCACGCGGGTCCTGGTGGGAGCGGTTCCTCCCCCGGGTGCTGGTGGGTCCCCTCCGTCCCCTCGTGGCCTCCGTGGTCCTGGGGACACCCAGCTGGGTCCACATGGGGCCAGGATGTCTTCAGTGAAGTCTTTGCCGGCCAGCTCCCCGCCCCTCGCGCTCCGGACTCCCTGAGCCCCGGGTGGGGATCTGGGGTGACCTGTGTGTTCTGGTCATTGCTCCCATTTCCGGCTGTGGCTTCGCTCCTCACTTGTGGCTCCTGTGGCCTCTGTCCTTCTGTCCAGGCGTCAGTCTTGCTGTGGACGCTGATGGCCCGCAGGCCACCCCTTCTCTCCCGCCTTTTCCTCGGCGGCTCAGGCCCCGCTTGTCCCGCACCCGTGTGGTGTGTTTCCTCCAATGTCCGTGCCCTTGGCCAGGGGCGGGCGCCCAAGGCTGCGGCCCCACAGTCGGCATGTGGCCTGGTCATCACAGTCCTCTGGGTGGGCAGCCACTCAGAGAGGAAGGC